TATCATCTTCAATACATCACCATAAAAGGAATTAAGCTCAACTATGTGAATTATAGTTTGGTACCTAAACTTAATAGATCTTAGATTTATATCCTAAATTTATTTTTTTAGCATACAAGTCCTTAAAAATCAAAATATTGATGGAACAATACATTTTATGGGTAGTTATCATAAATGGTCACAAACCTTTTCATTTTGTACAAAATGGTCACAATCCTTTAATTTTGCACATTTTGGTAAAACAAGTTTGAACTAATAACGAAATGGTCAATCCGTTCAATTCCGTCCAAAACTCCATTACCTGTTGCCCAGTCAGCATGACACATCATTAGAAATATTAGTTAAAATATCAGTTAATCACCCCTAATCACTATAAACCCGCACAACCCAACCGATTACCCACCCCCTACCCGAATTGGAGAAAGCTAGCCAGCAACCCTTCTTCTTTCAAGCTCATCGATCTTGAGAAGATGCAGCACCATGTTGTACTTCTTGGCAATCAAATCGTTCCTGCTCTTCAACTCCATTGTGGCCAACAACCCCTGCCAAAAACCTCCACCCGCTGAGTAGAACCTGAACACATTCTGCCCTTTTTTTCAACAACATAACATCGAATCATCTCCTTCCTCGACCCCCAACAGGCTGAAACTCTTATCAGAGATGGAATCCTTGGTACCTAATTTCGCCGCTCACTCTAGGGCTATGTTCTCGCTCTCGTGCTTACCATTGAAGTAATTGATAACGAACATAATCTACAATGACAGGCACACTATCTCCACGACAAACAACTACTTCTTCCAGGAACACTATCAGTCTGCTGCTTCGAATTCAGATCTAGGGTTTCCTTCTCGTCGCTACTAGCACCACCAGACTTTGGAGTCATCGGAGTATCTGCAGCAGTCGGAAGGCCTTCGAACTCGTCTTCATCCCATTCCATAAAGCTGGCGGTCGTAGTAGCGGCTGGATTCGACGAATCGGGTCTGGATTCGGAAGCATTTGAATCCGTAGTAGCATAACAAGTGGTTGAATAGGGCGATTGGAAATGGAATCTGGAGTGGTGTATGCAAGTGGGGAGTCGTCAGTCACCGTCAAGGGAAGATCGACGAGCTTGAAAGAAGAAGGGTCGAGGGAACACCATTCTCCCGATCTTCAGTCGTAAACTCGGGAAGGGTCGCTGGCTTTCCCCAATTCGGGAAGGGGGTGGGTAATTTGGTTGGTTACGACCGGTTGGGTTGTGTGGGTTAAGTGGGGTGATAAACTGATTTTTTAACTGATATTTTAATGACGTGTCATGCTGACTGGGCAACAGGTAACAGAGTTTTGGACAGAATTGGATGGATTGACCATTTCGTTATTAGTTCAAACTTGTTTTACCAAAACGTGCAAAATTAAAGGATTGTGACCGTTTTGTACAAAGTGAATAGGTTTGTGACCATTTATGATAATTACCCTACATTTTATTACCTAATTTTTTTTACTACATTATGGTACCTAAATTTTTGAAGTTCTACAAATAGTTCTAATTTTTGTATGTGTAATTAAAACACCTTTGAATAAATGGGTATCCACACCCAACTCATACACATTTAGATTATGGAAGTAAATATCCATACCCTACCCAAACCCATCTACAACTTCCAAACTGATATATACGTCACCCATACTCTACCCTAGGGGTGGCCTTTTAGTTATAACCGGTAACCGATCGGCAGGTTATCGGGTAACCAAAATAACCACCCCCCCTTACCGAAAACCGATCGAAATTGGTTTCTCGGTTAACCGAACCACTTTTAAGACCAAAAACCTTTTCGTCCAACTTTCGATAACTGACCAAAGTTCGGTTACTTCGGTTACCGGTTAGTGGATAACCGGCCAGTTATCGATTTAACCGGCCTGTTAACCGGTAACCAAACTGCCACCCCTACTCTACCCATAATCAATGGGTCTACTTGGGTTTAGATAAATATAGTTTATTAGCCCAAAATTTCAAAATATTTGAAATTTGATGTTGACTGTCATATATCTTTTCTCATTCAATATTATATTGTAAAGTCAATATTATTAACAAAATTGCTATCAAAAAAATAATTTTAGGCTAATAATACTAACAAAACACCATGCCGATAGGCCACCTCCGCCCCGCGACAAGGCGCAGCATCGCCACCTAGTAATTAATTATATGACAAGTTTGCAAGTCATGTGATGCCATAACTCAATCATATAAAAGAATACAAAACTAATTTAACAGTTTGACAAATTTGTTTAATTTTTATTAAGTAATATACCAGGCGAGAAAATTTGTCTAAAAATTACGAAAAAAGTATTTGAAATTTATGCAATAAATAATGTGAAAGTTGTAACAAGTAGCTTAGGGATGACAATCGGTTGGTTACTGGTTTAACTGGTAATCGGTCGATTATCGGTTTAATCAGTAACCGGCTGGCAGGTTAATGGTTTACCCGACCATGACAAATGATTGTCGACTACCAATACCGGGGAGAAATTCGGTTAACCGGTTTACCGGGTAGCTGGTTACTTGTTACCAAAGATGGGGTGATAGTTGAAAGGCCGCGACTCCAACCACTCTGTTTTCACGACGACGCACGCGCTTCGCCTTTGGGTAGAGAGGAAAGGGAGAAGAAGAAGATGAGAAGATGGGGTGAACAAGAATTCTCACATATGATTTTTACTGTTTTAATTTTTTTTCCTAATAATTAATAAATAAGTTACAATGGTTGATCGGCTTATGTGGCATTTTTGTTGACTACCATGTCAGAATATCTCTTGCACATCAGCGTAGCATCTGCCAACTCACCATCATCTAACATAATTTAACGGAGACTTAACGGTTGGCTAATAATTTGTATGTGGATAGTTGTGACTATAATTCACTCCGGTTTAATAGTTCTGGCTAATATATTGTATGTACCCTACATTTACAATGTATCAATTTAACTATCATCAAAATCAAATAACCCCTTAGTTTCCATAAGCAACACTAGTTGAGGCTGCAGCTTTTAACATTTGACACTAGTTTAGGATCACAGAGACCCTATACATTATAACTCGCTATTTCTATGGGTAAACAGGGAACAAAGAATAAACTTTTTTTTTGTAGAAGACAGACGTCAAAGCGTCTTAAATTACATTACTGATTGAACGTTCATGGGTGACCCCCTTTACATCATGCATAATCCAGTATTGGAGATCTGGATCGCACTCATCGATAGGATGAGTGCCAAAATCAAGACTGTGTCCTTTGCAAGCAAGGAAATCGGTCGCAAAATTACATTCCCTAAAAGTGTGGGATATAGAAACCTCCCAATCCAGATCCAACAACTGATTAATGGCCAAGGCTGAGATTCCATGTATGTGGTTAAAATCACTTCTGTTCTGAATAATGCTAATGGCCGTAGTTGAGTCAGTGAAGAGGCAGACCTTCCTGTAGCCCATCTCCCACGCAAAAGTAAGACCTGTTTCCACCGCTTTCAATTTCGCTCTAGTGATGGAGCATGTTCCCAAGTTGATCGAGAACGCCTTGTAGCATCTGCCAGTGTGGTCTCTGATTAGTCCACCCCCCGCCGCCTTGTTCCCTGTCTTCACTGATTCATCAGTGTTGATCTTTATCCATCCTTCTCTTGGTGGATTCCATCCAAGGTTACAGGTCTTCTTCCTGCGTTGTTGTCCTTCCTCTAGCCTTCTGTCACAGTCTTGAGCATTCTTTACAATATTTTTTTGGAGCAATATCAAGACGGATCACAGGAAAGAAGAGAGGAGGGAAGAGACAAATCTAGACTAAGGAAGAAGGTAGCGAAAGCTTAAAAGATGTCCGCCCCACCAGGCACCAGCTGGGCGAAGACGAAACGACTCTTTTTGATAATGGTGAATATATTAAAAGTACAAAAAAAACAATTGTTCGAATACAGCAAAGCAAGAAACACAAAACACACTAGGGGTTCCAAAAGATTGAACCACAAGAACAAGCAAAGTCCCAACTAAGTGGATCAAGCCACTCTTGAAGGAAAGAAAAAAACAAAAGACAAGGACCTCCAACAAAGGCTAGATGGATCAGACCATCCTTGCCAAAGAAATGACCAACGAGATATCAAGCAAAATAACAGTAACCACGCAGCAACATCCAGAAACAACATCAGGATCACTTCGCCCAGCAGCAATGATAGAACCTGTGATTAGGGTTCTATCGGGAATAGGGGATTTAGGGATTAAGAATAGAATTAGGGATTTGAGAAGAGAAAGATAGAGAATCGGCCTAGGCCTTTAGAGGGATTGGGAACGAGAATTGAGAGGATTGGGAGAATAGGATTTAGGATAGGGTTTCTTAATATTCTTCTTGACTGATTATGAATGAATGACCAATTACATATTTATAGCAAAATACTAGAAAAACCTAATAGACTATCCTAATATGGCTCAAAGACTAATAACCATATCTAGATAAATCCTAATAATATTAACATTGATAATTATGGTTAAATCTAAAAAGTAGGTTTCCATCATCCCCTGCCCTTGAAAACCAACCTTGCCCTCAAGGTTGACCAACTAGACCCACTTCTTCACATCGCTCGTGCAACCCGCGCATTTGATCCTCATTTCTTGCGCTTTCTTTTCTTCCAATCTTGCTCTACTACTCGACTTGTACCTCTTGCGTTGACCTTCTTGTGCTGGTCCAACTTTTCGAACTTCACTTTCATGGGCCCACTACTTGCTTCTTTCTTGTACAAGGATCCATCCTTGAGTATCAATCTGTCAAGAACTTCAAATTCTATGATGATGGCCCATGCAGCTTCACTCTCCTCAATTGGGCTTTTTGCAAACCCAATAAACCTATCTTCTTCCAAGCTCACATTCTTTAAAAGACAATCCTTGTTGGGCTCCATCCTTCTTTTCACAAACGGCCAACTTCCCACTAGTCTTGGCCCGATACTCGTCCCAAACGGAGCCCAATTCGTGTCAACCTACAGCCCGCCTTGCTGATACAATCAGCCCACAGTAAACCTGCCGAGCTTCTCCACCAAATCCAGCCTGTGGCCAAGATTGATGGCTTCGGCCCGGCCCTCCCCATCTACCATCTCCAGTTCGGCGGCCCAAGCACTTCGGCCCGAAACAAATGACTGTTGGGGGGAGGGGGGCAAGAACTTAGGGTTATCGACAAGAGGGTCGCCGCCTTCCTCTTGCCCAATCGCCGGCAGATCCATCTTCAATCCCTTCCTGGACGACTCAGTCGGCGGCTCTTCCACCGATAGCGAGCAACCCACCTGGCGGCGACGAGCCCTGCTCAATTCCGGTCTCTTCTCCTCGTCGTTCGCCCTTAACTCCTTCGTTTCCTCCCCTTGCAGCAGACGTCCCACCAGATGGACGGATGGCGCTCTCAGCGCCGCCGTGCTAGTCATCTTCCCCGGCGACACACAAGGAGGCTCACCGATGCCTCCGCCCTTCTCCTTCTCCATCAACCTCGCGTCAACTAATCGAGCCGCAGATAGCGAGGTCTCCCGCGTGATTCGCGCCTCAAAGGAAATCGCCGAGGATCGTGGCCTTCATCGCGCGATTCTCGTATCTGGCGGCTCGATTCCCAACTCCGACCTAGGTCTTGCGAGAGGAGAGTTGCCTTTCCGCCTTCTTCTCCTTCTCCTCGGAATCGTCCTTCTGTGGTGGGAAACCCCCTGCCCGACAATCCGGAGGCCAACCCAATATCTCCATCGTCTTCAGATCCTTCTGCTTTGGTCTTCTTTTCTTCTTGAATCTCCTGTTTACGATGCACACTGGGATTCTCTTCCCAACGACGCTTTTAGGGTTCTTGCTCGTCAGTGCCACCACGATGGGCATCCCTGGTTCAGGGCCGTCAAGGGCAGGGGATGGTGGCGTAGTGACGTTGATGACCATCGGCGATGGTTCCACGGCAGCAAGTGATCCCTTTTCGGTGGTCGCCGCTTTCTCATCGGCGGTATTAGCAAGAGATGTGTCAGAAGTCTCCTTTTCCTGAGCTCCGGCAAGTAAGGCAGGGGCTTCCGGGCTGGCCTCTGATGTTGCCGCTGCTAAACCAGCGGGTCGAGAATTCGTTGGTGGCAAAATCTGACCTGAGCCTAACCTTTGCTTCGAAGCGACCCCACCTAGCATCTTCATCCAATGGTTCTTCACCGTGAACTGTTATTATATTGGACAAAGATTTCACGTTTGTTGTCTTGAACCACCGCGGCAATGAAAAGAACAGCTCGATGTATGACTCCTTCACTAGTTTAGTGACCTTGGGGATGAAATCTTCATAGACGCGTTCGGTTTCCATGGTCCCGGTTGAGAGTTGTGATTTCTCGATTTCGCAACCGGGCTCTGATACCAAATGATAGAACCTGTGATTAGGGTTCTATCGGGAATAGGGGATTTAGGGATTAAGAACATAATTAGGGATTTGAGAAGAGAAAGATAGAGAATCGGCCTAGGCCTTTAGAGGGATTGGGAACGAGAATTGAGAGGATTGGGAGAATAGGATTTAGGAGAGGGTTTCTTAATATTCTTCTTAACTGATTATGAATTAATGACTAATTACATATTTATAGCGAAATACTAGAAAAACCTAATAGACTATCTTAATATGGCTCAAAGACTAATAACCATATCTAAATAAATCCTAAAAAAATATTAATATTGATAATTATGGTTAAACCTTAAAATAGGTTTCCATCAAGCAACAACCACAGACAGCAGCAAAATCACTTCCAGTGAAGAAGAGGGAAAACTCACATGAAACGAGAGACGATGTGTAGGCAGAAATTACAAGGCAAGATGCTTTCTTCTCGAGAGTATAGAAACTACAAATACTAGAGAACTTCAACGTTCTTCGGTCGCACATTTTGGGGATCTAGAAGATTTTGGAATTTAATGCGAAATACTTGGTAGATATCAAAGCAAATTCCAAAGGTTTCTGTTTCACTATAAGATCCCATAATGTCTAGTTTCTTTCATGCATGTTGGTATGTAGTAGCATTACTTAACCAATGAGAGAAATAGGAATGAAAATCCGATGATATCCCAATCCCAGTGTCAACAACGGCGCATTATGATTGCATACAAATACAACACCCTATCTAGATTGGACGACTCAATCAGAGGAGGACTCAATCAGAGTAGTAACAACAATATTTGTTCAGTGTAGCTTTTCATTTCAGCACCCACAGCCACAAATCACTAGTGCTACTGCGCTAGAAGCCAGAAATGCAATGTGAAGCAATAGTGAATGCAGTGGATAGCATCGGTATAATCCTTTTGTAAGTAGGAGGTACACAGATGAACAAGTTCACATATTTAAACATGACGGCGCGCGGAGTAGTATGGCAATCACACTAACCATAACTATAACCTTTTGCGATTTACTTGTAGTAGTAGGGAAAACAAAAGATGAAAGAGAATTACAATATTGACTACAGTGCCAAGCTCTTTACTTTATGCTGTATACATTCCTCCCCGTTGAAACAATGGAACTAAGAACTAAACTAAATGCGCAAATTGAACTGGATCCATTCCAAGCAGCGCAGAGCAGAGACGGAATAGATGCCTGATAGTACATGGTAATCAAATATAGATAGCACAACACATCACACAGAAAGAGCTAGCTTAGCCCAACCCTAAGCCTAGCTTTGTAATGTGTGTAAATTAAAACTTAAACAAAGATGCAACGGCAAAAGCAAGGACAGGCGCGGGGCGCCATTTGGGTTTATACGTCAAAGCAGTTACGGAGTGGCCTCGGAGCCAGGTGTCTGGAGGATAGTGGAACACATGTTGGAGAGCCATGGTGGAAAAATCCAAAGAAAACACAGTCATCCAGACTCTGAAATAGATGATGTTGTGGTCAGAAGGATTACTGCCAAGAAGTTCCACTCGCTGCTGATACAAAGGCAAAACACACTCATCCAGAGGTGGTTGTTGAAAGACGTTGCGGAGAGAAACGTGCTTATGCAATAACCATCGACAGTGGTCATCATCATCAAGTAGAATCCAAACGCTAACAGTGCCGCATGGCGTTGGCCACTCTGACATTTGGAGAATGGTCAAGTTTCCTCTGCATATTTCCAAGCGTTCATTGTTCTTGTACACAAATTTTGGAGGCAGATCAATAAGTAGAGGCACACAAGAAGCAGACGAACCCTCACCATCAGCAGCGTGATATGGATCAGCAACTCCAAAGAGGGAGTGTGTTTCCCCAAGCCAAAACATGAATCCCTTGTACATAATTCCTTGAGGATAATATGTGGACTCCCAATTAAATACTCGGCCTGCAGGCAAATACATTACTTCTTCTTTCCAAACCCAGTTGTGCTTGTGATTACTAAACGTCTGCACTGACAGACGATGAGCTGGCTGCCACCTGACGCAGCCTGCAATATGAATCACAGTAAAGCTACCATCTGAATGGGCCGCAATTCCACACAGGAACCTATCAATACTTTCATATTTTAGAGGTGGGAGTGGAACCCAGTTATCATTCCCGCCGAGGGGCTCCCAGACGAAGTAAACAGATTCCAAACCCTGACAAAGTAGCACATCATTGCAACAACCGAGCACGGTGGGTGCTCCCTCAAGGACGAATCGTGCACATCCCACCGTATCTTCTTCAGAAGAAGACTCTGCTGCAACCACATAAGCCGATACAGTGGTGCTTGACAGGGCCAACGCTATGCTCAACAGAGCGAAGCTGCTGCTGCCATCGTAGCAACTTTCCATGTAGCGCGATGTTGCCTCGTCCTTGAGAATCCTGTACCATGCCTTGCATACCGCGCTGCATCTTTTTGCAGATTTCATTCGCAGCCGACTAATTATGTTGATCAATATGCTGTCTGGAAGATCCTGGATTGTCGACGTCATCACAGTTGGATCCACGCCGCCGCCGATGATGCACTTGCTCCTGCCGCCACCTTCCATCCTACCCAATTTATTCAATTCTACACCCCATCTATCCTATCTCCCCCAATCCCTATAAATAAGTAATCTAATTCGATTCGGTAACCCAGTCCTAATTGGAATAGGAAATACGATGAGTGGATCCAATCCACCTTTTATCAGGGATGAAGGTATCGAGGGATAAGATTACCAGATCCATAGAAGAGAGGGAGGCCAAAAAGACGACGACTTTACAGATTTTTCACTCTACTGTTGCCGATGTGGGCTGGCGGGCGGTGAGCGGATGAGGAGAAAATCAGCGACGACAAGGCAATTGATTGTCGGACAGAAGTGCCTGCTCGGCGGAGGAGGGTATGAACGCGAGTTTGGTGGAGAGCAAACAGACAGCTGAGAGAGGATTGGGGAAGGGGAAGGGGAAAGGGAAGAATAGTCTTTGGAATTTGGATGGGAGGAGACGCAACAATGAAAAGAGGAACTGCGGCGGATGTTATCAGGGGAAGTGAAATAGTGAATCCCCGAAGGAGGATCAAGCTTTCCGGTGAGACGATGTCGTTCAGGAAAACATTGTTTCAGAATTCACAGTGTTAGGGGTGGTGGCTATATGTATAGGTGTCAAAACATAGCCCGACCCGATTAACCCGACCCGCAACCCGACCGCAACCCGAATTGATTAAAAGTCAACAACCCGTAACCCGCCCGACCCGCAACCCGATTGACCCGCAACCCAACTAACCTGCAACCCGATTAACCCGAACCCGATTGACCCGCAACCCGACTGACCCGCAACCCGATTAACCCGAACCCGATTGACCCGAACCCGACTAACCCGTAACCCGACCGACTCAACCCGAATTTCATCTAATCCACTTGAATAATTATAAAAATATACAATACATAGTTTTTCAAAATAAAGTTTTTCATTCTTAACTTAAGTAAAATTATTTTTTCATTTCGTATAAGAAATTTTAATAATATGAAACTCACTTGATATTACGTATTTTAAGAAAATTACAAAAATTGAAACATGAAGGCCACTTGAGATCATGACAATATTAATATAATATATAAATTAAAATTTTGGTTAATTTAACTATTCAATAAAATTATCAATTAAATATAAATAAAGTAAAGTCATGTATTTGGTAATTTGATGTTTTTAAAAGAAGAGGGAAATTTTGGTGTATTCAAGTTTTTGGGAAGAGAAAGAAGAGAGAAATTTGGTTCTTTGAATTTTTTAGAAAAGAAACAAGTGAGAATTTTGGTGGTGTTTGATATGTGGGAAAAGAAAAAAGTGGGAAAGTTTGATTCTTTTGATTATGAAAGAGAAATAAGAAGGGAAACTTTTGACTTTTCAACTTTTTGTAGAAGGAATGAAGAGGGTAATTTGTTTCTTTCAATTTTATGGAAGAAAAAGAGGATGGAAAATTGAGTTTTTCTAATGTATGGAAGGAGAAAGAATGAGGGAAATTTTAGTATTTTTGTGAAAAGAAAGAAGGAAACAAATTTGGTGTTTGCAATTTTTTGGTTTTTCATAATTTTAGTTTTTGAAATGTGAATCTTTAACTTTTATATGGAGGGCATGACTAGTTAAAATTATTCTTATATGCTTTGAAGGCTAATATGTATATATGTATGTAATTTTTTATGGTCTAATAAATAAATTAACCATAAGTTACAACAATTTATACTAAACTTGATAAGTAATCTTTGACGGTTAGTTGTTTAGGATATAAAGTATATGGTTAGGGTATAAGGTATAAGGTACATATGGTTTAGGGTGTATATGGTTAGGGTATAAGATATTGATGGTTTTGACGGTTCTAAGTTTTTTTATTAACATATGTTCACTTGAAGTCATTTGAAGTCTTTAACGGCAGGAGATCCCTTTTTAATTTATGTTTATGGTACGTGGTTAGGGTACAAGGTATGTGGTGTAAAGTATAGGATATATGGTTAGTGTATAACAATTAGCAAATATCACTTTTTATCTATGTTTTGAAAATCAAAGTATGAATTTCACTTTTAAATTAACTATACTAGCAAAATCACAACTCAAGGACATATGATTAGGGTATAGGTTATGTGGTTAGTGTATAATGTATTGATTAATGGTTTAGGGTATACAATCAACAACATATACTAACTTAATATTGTTGATTGAGGGTAAAGCTAAGTGTATAAGATATATGCTATTGAGTAAGTTATGATTGAAGTCACAATAATTTTACTAAATTTGATAGCTAATCTTTAATGGTTCAATTTTTAGGATAATTCGAACAATTTTACAAATAACTCGTTTGGCAACAGTATACTAAAGTTATTTGGGCAATGAGTTATTTTGAAATAACTCCTTTTATCACTATACTTTTGCCAAATACCACACACAAAATGCCAGATTTGCATGGTTATACTAAACGAGATACTTTAATCCAATTACTACTGAATTAATACTAAAATATCAAATAAACAATTAACGGTGTCTTTTGATTGCAAATATTGATATCACCATTACTATTAGCTATAATACTTTACCAATTATGATTAATTACATAACAAGTTTGCAAGTCATACAATGATTTAACATTTTGACTAGTTTTTTTCAAAAAAATAAAGTATATATATACGAGGTAGAAATAAATTGGTTAAAAAGTTAAGAAAATATTTTAAATTAGTGTAATAAAATGTGTAAGTTGGTAATGAGTTAAGTTACTTGATGCGCTGGCCCGAACAACCCGAAACCCGACCCGCCCGCAACCCCCCCGACCCAAAACTCGGTGAACCCGCAACCCGATTTGCCCGCAACCCGATTGAATCCGAACCCGATGAACCCGCAACCCGACTAACCCGCAACCCGTTTGAACCCGAACCCGATGAACCCGCAACCCGACTAACCCGCAACCCATTTGAACCCGAACCCGATTGAACCCAGCCCGAACCCGCCTGATTGACACCTATAGCTATATGGTCTAGTTAGGTTAAATTTGTCCGAATTAATTCGATTTCGGTCCGATCTTTTCGAGAATATAAGGACCAAAGATTGGATTGGATTGGATTGGATACAGTCCGGTCTTTATCCAGTCCAGTCTTAATTAGATCTTGATTTTAAATTGAGCTTGTGGCGATTTGAGTGGCCTAAGGCCTGAAAGGTCTAGGTCCTCTAGGAGGTTAAATTTTGAGTGTTGGGGCTCTCTTATCCGGTTTTCGGTCCGGTCCCAAATGGTTTTTTTACCTCAAATCTAAGCCCAAAAATTGCATTGAATTGTTTGCTATCCAATCTCGGTCTAATTTCGGTCCGAGTTATACGATCATGTTTCGGATAAAACCTAAAAGCCCGGACCAAATAATCAGACCTACATAGTGTCATTACTTCCTCCTTTCTAACCAGAGCTGTTTTACAACTTTCCAGTCTTCAATTATTCACAAGATCGGTCATTGCGTTCGCGTTTTGAGCCGAACATACGTAATTGCTTCTCTGTTTCGGTTTCAGATCTGTAAAATGTTGTCGGCTGTGAGAAGATCGCCGCCTTAGGGGGTGAATCAGAGAGATGTGAGCTTTTTCTTTTTTCTTAGCTCAGATTCAAGGGGAGAAAAGGTAGAAAGATACTTCCAAGTTGAATCCAAAGTTGCCACTGCTCTTTCTAGATTTCCTACGTTGGAACTTGGAAGAAACTAATTGTCACCATCCAAATCATTTGATCCTCTGCAGAAGGAAATGAAAAATGTGGAAGCTACCTCTTGATTGGATTATGAAAGTGCAGTTTGACTCCAGCGAGACCTTGGCAGAGTTGGCAGGAAGCGCCCCCTCAATTTCGTTCAACCCCAAGCTTCTTCCATCAGCAGAAGCAAAAAAAACATTAGATAATTGAGTGCAGAAAAATATTCTCATCAGGCTAAACTGTGTCAAGGTTGTAAAGAGCTGAGCATACTCAATATGCCCGGAGTAATAGTACCTAAAAGTCTGGAAAATGAATGAAGCGCTGTAGATTATGTGGAAATCAAAATAGTAGGGCTCAACCTTATTAAGACCACTGCTCATTTGAACCTTGTAACCAATGAAAGAACGTGTACACAATCAGTTTTGACTTGGTGGTTGTTTGAGCCTAACTGAGAGTAGGAGTGAGGCTCGTGAGGGAGGGGGGAGAAGAGCAAGCGATGCGAGTGTCTAACTTGTTTACGAATGAGGGCTTTCAGTAGAGTGGGAGAAACAACGAAAGAAGTTTGCTAGTGAGAGAAGTGAATGTGTATTAGTGAGAGAATCCAAAAACCGATCCCCTACCTACCGTAGTAAATGCCCCTTTTATAGTACATTACAGTAGTGGGTATTTAATGCGATAAGACTACTACATGTGTTAAAAACTTAGGCCATGCTTTTAGGCCATAATCATTCCTAGGACCTGACCGAGGACATGACTCTTCCTTCATAGGCTGCGGCACCATCCTTTCGGTTCTCCTTCCCTACCATATGCTGGCCAAAACGACACTGGCTTGGGTAAAACCAAAACGGCGCTGGTTTTGGACGAGGCGAAAAGACGTCGGCCTGGGCAGGGTCAAACGATGAGGTAAAAACGACGTTGGCCTGGGCAGGATCAAAACGACATCGCTTGATGCTTCCACCGTTTGCGGTCATGTCCTTGCTTACTGGAAGTTCGTTCGGCCATTTTGCTCGCGCGACTGGATCCGAGCCATATCCCCAACAATTGCCCCGCACCAGGGGGTATTTTGTGAATGTCGTCTGTTAGCTTCCGTGTGGCGGGCTCGATTCCTCGCGCTTCACGCGCTTTCGTGGGCTATCGATGCACACGTACACCTTGCTGTGCACGCTCAGTTTTTCGCGTTTCGCGTTTCTTTCCTTTCGCGCGTGACGCCGCTGTTATCTGCTATGTGCGCCCTCTAGGTTCCGCGCGTGCGGCCAGCACGAACGTTCTTTTGGGCTCCGCGAGTGGATTCTTTTATTAGATGTTTTTTTTCTTTTCCGCGGCCGCCTGTTAGCTTCCGCGGGTTATCGGTGCGCGCGCGTACACCTTGCTGCGCGCGCTCAACTCTTCATGATCCCCGCTCTTTCCTTTCACGAGCGACGTCGTTGTTATTCGCTATGTGCGCCCTCTAGGTTCCGCGTATGCGGCCAGCGCGACCATTCTTTTGGGTTCCGCGAGTGAATCCTTTTATCGGATGTTTTTTTCTTTTCCGCCTAGCCTCTAGTTAGCACTCAGCCCTAGTATCAATAGGTGTTGACGTGGCGTGCCGTCATTCACTCGTTTGGGCGGTTACTTTCATTTTGAATTTCAAAATTTCTGGACGTTTCTGACGTTTCCGATTCTCGATGCACCTTTTACCCTTTCACCTACCCCTCTTGGTGTTATAAATACTTCTTTGTATCAGAGAGGAGTCCTTCACCTTCACAACTTCTGCTTTCTCTTTCATTGTTCTTCTTTGCCGACGAGATTTTTCTTCTTCTCCGACGACCTTGTACCTCAAAATCGTTCGTGATTTTCTTTCTCGGAGACACAAATGGCCAACGTCGATGTGAACAACGAGGTCGTGGTCGTACCAGACGAAGAAGGTAATCTTTCTCCT